TGCCCTCGTCCACTGCCAGCAACTCCAGCCGCAGCCCGTAGCCATGCCGGGCGTCCAGGGTCCGCAGCAGGTGGGCCAGCACCGTGGAGTCTTTGCCCCCCGAGGCCGCCACAGCCACCGTGTCCCCCCGGCGAAATAGGCGCCCGCTCGTCACAGCCGCGTGGGCCTCCTTCTCGAAGGCCCCCACAAAGCAGGCCCGGCACAGGGCCTGGCCCGTGCGGGGCCGCCGGAGGGCTGCCGGGCGCTCTCCGCAGGCCGTGCAGTGCACGGGCATGGCCACCAGGGGGGCGCTGAGAAGGACAGAAAGGGGCGGGGTTAGAGAGATGATTGACAGGTCCACCCAGGGAACTGACATGGCCACCAGGGAGCAAGGAGGGGGAAGAGGAAGGGGAGGGGTTAGAGACATGACTGACAAGTCCTGTAAGGGAATTGAGGTGTACACCAAGGGGCACAGGGGAGAGAGGAAGGGGTGGGGTTAGGCAGACGATTGACAGGTCACCTCAGAACCCTAGCAACCACTGCCTACAGGGCAAAGAGGACAGGGGGTGGGGTTAGAGATGATTGACAGGTCCCCCCTCGGAACGGACTTGACCTCTAGGAGCACTGGGGCCATGAACAAGAGGTAAGATAAGAGAAGTGATTGACAGCCCCCACCCCCACCCCAATGCTGCCTGAGGCAGAGGGGCGGGGCTAGAAGATGAGTGACATCTTCCCACAGCCCCACGCCCCGCCCACCAAAGGGTGCTGGGGGAAAGGGGCGGGGTCAGTGATTGGCAGGTTCCCCCAAACCCCTTAAGCCCGTCCACCTAATGCTGTCCCAGCCCCCCTAACGCACCCCCTCTTTGCCCCCAGCCCAAGCCCCACCTCTTTCCCCCTCACCTGTGCTCGGCGCTGCACAGGGGACACGCGGCAATACAAACACGCGGAGCGGGAAGCCTATCCCACCATGCACCACGAGTTTATCCCAGCATGCACCTCGCGGCGGGAGAACTGCAATTCCCAGCATGCCCCGCTCCCAGGGCCGCCGCTCCGCGGTGCACCGCGCACCGAGGCCCGCCCACTCTCTGGGGACTACAACTCCCAGCGTGCCCCAGCGCGCTCCCTTAAGAACCTAGCGCCTGGGGACTACAATCCCCAGCGTGCACCGCGCCTAAAACCACACCTGCCCACATGCCCCGCCACCCAGAACTACAACTCCCAGCGTGCCCCGCGCCCTAGGACTGCAACTCAAGACCTTGGAGAAGAAACAGCCATCGAGGCTGGCTGTTGCCCAGAAAGGTTCAATTCTAGTCACATCGTCCCCCAAAACAGACAATTTTGGCCTTTTCAAAACCCCAAAACCAGGGAAATTCTACCGGGGGGAGTGGAGGGGCATTAAAAAAAAGCTTTTTTTTTTTTGGTCCAAGAAAAAGAGCTAAACTCTAGCCATCGCATTAAAACAAGCCCATATAATTAAAGAACAACACAGCTGAAAAACCTCCACTTCTGAGGAAAACTCCCAGGAATTTTGAAGTGGGGACACCAGCACCGTGTGCCGTTCCGTGCCCAAAATGTGAAATTCTATCAAAAATGACCATTTGGGCACGTTCTAACCCAAAATGAAGCCTGATGCCGAGGGAAATTGCTATGGGAATGCTGAAGGAATTTTCTCCGAGTCTACAAAATCAGACTGGAAATTTTAATGGGAATAATGAGACTAATAGACCACGCTTGGCACCACCGTGCTACAATTCTAGTGAAAACACCCCCAGGTGCACCTATAGCAGCAATTTCTCACTCAAAAAACACCTGATTTGGGGGAGAAATGACATCAGAAATGTTGAAGAAATAGCAGTGAAGGGTGAGGCTGTTTTGCTCAAAATCCACCAGAAATGGACTAGGCCTCAACCCTGTTACCAGGGCAAAAAACAAAAAAAAAAGTTAATTCTTTTCCCCCAAAAAATTCTCATCATAACCAGACTCCAGCTGCGGCCTCCCCAATACTAACAGAGCGGCATCAGGAACAGAGCCCTGGGGCCATCGAGGGAGCTCCCATCGCACCCACACCTAACTGATCACACGCGCCTGAACTAAAGTGCCCTCAAGACAACAGTAGTCAACTGAAAGCCTGTTATTCTGGGCATCTACAACCGTCCTACCGGGACTGTATCATTTTTACACAGAGGGGACATCCCCGTTTTGTTTCTTTCGGATTTCAGATGCACGTAAGGTTGCCTTACTGTTACGGGAACAGAGTTCCTGTCACTCTACCGGGGTGTGATCACCTACCTATACGTGTACATATGTTGTGACAAAGTCACATGTTGATCAGCATTGATGAACATTAGGACTATTCCATTTGTTAACTGAGTTACGAATTAAACCTTAGAATAGATAGCGGTGTATGTACATGAATATACAGATGTGTATGTATGAAAAGATCTGAATATAAATTCATACGTATCTAGTTATATTGTGAATAATAAATATTGTAAAGGTACCCGTGCTGTTACAGGAAGTATCCCCATACCGGGATCCTGAGGTTCCCCATTAGCCCGAAGGAACCCAGAAGGATAGGTGGTGGTGCCCCAGCATCCCACATACTGCCACTGGCAGCAGTTAGCGCCCCATGGTGCTGTTACACTGAAGTCAAGGTATATCATGCAGAGCCGGACACAGCCATGGTGAACTGGGGCTTGAACAGAAAGGTAGCCCAAAAATGGTAATTTTTTTTCCCCGCTGTCTGATTATCATCATGACCATCTCTGGTGAAGAGGGGCCCAATATTAAAAGTTCACCTGGGGCCACCAGGAGTCTAATTATGGTGCTGATATCATGTCCACTGCTCTCCCTGGATCCGTTGTGGGAGTTGCCTCAGTTTACAGGAAAGGGGACACTCCAAACAGCATTATAGGAAGCTGAAGAAGTATTAAGGGCCTCTTTTTTTTTTTTTCCCCCCCTTTGCTGGTACCAAGTTGTACTTTCCTCTGTCCGGGGAGTGCTTTCAAAATGACAAGGGACCTCCCAGAGTCAGCAAGACAAAGGGTGCGTGTGGAAAGGGGTCGAGCTACTTCAGCAAAGAAATGTTCTCCCTTAGAAGAGTCTGTTTTCGTAGGGCAAGAAACAGAACAAGCTGAAAGTGAAATGCCAGCATTGGAACAGCAGTGGCTTGCATGTTGTGTCTGCCAATCCATAGCTATCCATTCATCCATCCACCCACCCATCTCCACACACACATACCCATCTCCATCCACCTGCCCACTCATCCATCCATCTCCACACACGTCTATCCATCCCCATATACACCCACCCACCCATCCCATACACCCCCACCCACCCACCCTGACACCCTGACCCATCCATCCCCATATTCACACCTCCACCCACCCACACACCTATTCCCATATATACTTACACACACACACACACACACACACACACACACACACACACACACACACCCCTATTTACTCACCCACCCACGCACACCCCCCGACTCATCCATCCATAGAGCATGAGGGTTGAAGAGATTTCGGGAGATCACGTCTAGTCCAAGCCCCTGCTCCAAGCAGAACCAGCCCCATCTAGACCATCCCAACCAGGGCTATTTTTATGTTGTTTGGCTTGGGAGTAGAAAGCATGGGAAGAGCAGGAAAGCACTTTGGCCTTTAGGAAGCTCAAGTCCTCTCTCAAGTGGAATCAGCAAAGATCCAGAGAGAATGATTTAAACATGTGAAATGTTACAGTGATAGGGTCAAGTAGATGGACTGCCCGAAACAAACCAAAAGTAGTGCAAAACACTTCCCTACCCGGCCCCTCTCTAGTGCTTTTATAACAAGTATTCATGTTATAAATATGTGTTACAACAAGTATTCATGTCATAAATACGTGTGTTATAACAAATATTGATGTTCTGTATATCATCAGAATACTTACCTCCTTGAAAGTGTCAGGATGATAGGAGGCATCGAGGCCTCTTGCTACCTTGTTTTGTTTTTATACTCGACGTACAAACGTAACACTGGAACAGTTTGTTGCACAAGTGCGTTAGGCCTCCATTACAGCATGACAAGCTAATCTGGAAATCTTAAATACACATTTCTCACACATGCACTTGCTTTAGCAAAAAGACATTTCTCACGCGCATGCTTTAGCAAACATTTTTACACACACACACACACACACACACACACACACACGCCCTTCCTTTAGGAAAACACATTTCTCTCTCACACACTTGCACACACACCCTTGCTTTAGCAAAGACATTTCTTACACACACACACACACACACACACACACACACACACACACGCTGTTGCTTTAGCAAACATTTCCATATTTCTGCCATGCACACACACACTCGCTTTAGCAAAAATACACATTTCTCACACACACTCACACTTGCTTTAGCAAACAGCATCTCCCCAAATAAAATATACCATAGCTCCTAAAATTATGTTTTAGTGATGTTATGGGAAAAGACCCAAAGGAAGAAATTAAAACATCACATACTGGCCGTGTCTACGTGAGATGCTTTACTGCACGGTAGACTAATTTACTGCGCAGCAAAGCAAAGCATCACCGTCTACATATGCAGGTACTTATTGCGTGGCAAATCTACAGTGCAGCAAATTTACTACCTGTATTTGCAGGTAGTAAATTCACTGTGCAGTAAAGCCAAATAACTTTAATTGCATATGTAGACGCACCTACCGTGAACCAAAGTCCAGCTTCAGTCATACCTAAAAAATGACTTTAAAATTCAAAACAAATACCACAGGCAGGTCAATTTTAATGATAAAGTAACAAACATGTATATTAAAGTCATAAAACATAACACAGTGTAACAGCACCTCAGCCCTTCTTTTCTTTAACAAGACACCCTGCGATTTCTATTAGAAGTACAATTTTTTGTTTGGAATCTTTTTTGGTGGGGGAGGGAGAGGGCAGGGAGAAGAGCTGAAATGCCCCACCCCCCTCCCCAAATTCAAATTCAACCATGTCACACCCTGTACACAACTAGACCAGTAATGAACTAGCTATAAAAATGCCACTCAGTGAATGTAAAACAAAAACAGCTTAGATACAAAAGTCCCCAAAACCCACAGAATCTACCCCAAAAAATCTTTGGTCTCCTAACATCTTTGGGTGCATCTACACATTCAATTAGTGTGCTTTTGGTAATGTGCATTAAATCTAGTACCGCCATCGTGAAGAACTAGAAAAATGTGCATTAGCCTATTTTAACGTGCATTAGCTATAGGGGTTTCTGTGATGCTTTAATGTGCATTAAAATAAGCTAAAGCGCACATGTAGACACAGCCTTTATTTTTCCCTTTTTAATACTGCTTTGTTTCGTGGTTGTAGAAATGCTTGAGAAGGCCACTTGCAAAAAATAATAATAAACCTTTTCCTGAACTCAGCTCATTTTAAGTGATTTCATGGCAAGTTACATAAAGATCCCAAAATAATTCCCCTGCTCCCCATAATGTGCAGTAACGTTAAATTGGGCCTAGTATGGTAAAAGATCAGTGTGTTGCTACAGGATCTCCCTGCCTGCGGGGTACCATCCATCCTTGGGCAACCCCAGATCTCCCTGCCCGCCAACTTGGGCAACCCCAGAAAAGAAGCCAGGACAAGAATTTACCTTTCCCCAAGGGACAAAATGAAGCTTAAACCTTTCAATAATCCTGAGCAAATGTTTGAAAACTCTTATACGATGTAGAAAAAACCTCCATGAAAAATCCTGACAGTTTCAGACCTAGCAGCCTAGTGGGCACAGGCGGCTTTCAATAGAAACCAAATTAACCGAGCATCGATCCGGCAGCTTCGTGGTATGGGGGTTCCTGGCGGGGGGTGGAAAATAGTGGGAATTGTCCACTTTTGCAAAGCTCCTGATGTCCACTGCGGCATTTTGGACCTGGCTAAACCCGCCCTCCCGGTACCGCAGCAGCGCCCTGCCCTTTCACGACTGCGGTGGTGGCAGCAGCACGGGGAGGCCTGGCCAGCGGGGGGGACGGCGGGGCACGGGTGGGCGACTCCGGGGCTGGGTGGTGCGGGGGCCAGAGGTAGAAGTCGTCAGCTGAGTACTCGTCGGGGGAGGCGAGGTCCAGCGCCCAGGTGTAGCCGCGGCGCGGGACACCGCCCGGCGCAGGCAGGCGGCGGAAGGTGGAGTGGACGTGCAGGTTGCGGCGCACGCTGTTCTGCCAGCTCTGGCGCGCCGGGCTGTAGTAGGGGAAGCGGCGCGTGATGGACTCGCAGATGCCGCGTACTGTCAGGCGCTGCCCGGGGCTGTCTTGGAGGACCATGACAATTAGCTCCATGAGCAAAAAGGGCGGCTTCTCTGGGGCTGCCGTCGCCTCTGGCGCCATCACAGGTCCCCTGCAGCTCTTCCACTAGGGTGTGCTGGGGTGAGGGAGAAAGGGGCGGGGTTAGAGGTGATTGACAGCCTGCCAAATCCATGGCTTACATCATAGTTGCACACACCAGGAGGCGGGGTTAGAGAGCTGATCGACAGCCAAGTCCCTAAGGCCCACCCCAGAGCTGCCCAAACCAGGAAGTGTGGTGAGAGATGACTGACAGCCCCACAGCTCTGTAAGCCCCACCCCATGGTTGCACACAGCAGAGGGTGGGGTTAGGGAGATGATTGACAGCCCCCCAGTCTGCAAGCCCTGCCCATAGCTGCTCACCACCCCAGGGTGCAGGGCTAGACATGCGATAGACAGGTCCCCCCTTCTAGCCCAGCCGCTCCCCCTCCAGTACTGCCAGAGCCCCTCACTCCTGCCCTGCAGCGCCCCCAGCCCTGCCCTTACCTGTGCTTGGCGCTGCACGCAGAGCACACAAAACAATGCACACACGTGGGGTGGGTGGCCTAACCCTGCATGCACCGCGAGCTCACCCCGGCATGCACCTCGCGGCGGGGGCGGGGAGGGGGGGGAGCCGGGGACTGCAACTCCCAGCATGCCCTGCGCTGGGACCACCCCCAGTCTCTGGGTCCCAGGGGCAGTGGGTGCAGTCCCAGTCCCTGCCATTAAGGGGCCTCTGGGGGGGGGCCGTGAGCAGGGGCGGCTGGGACCCAGGACACCTGGGTTCTTCCCAGCTGGGGGGAGCTGGGCTGCCCTGGTTCTCTGCCTTGTGGTTTCCAGTTACTGAAGCGGAAGGAAGGCACTTCCCCTCCAGGCCTCTCCAAGCCTGCGGCTGGAGCTGCAGAGAGTCAGCGAGGGGCTGACATGCAGCTTGCTCTGGGGTACAGCAGCCACATATAACAGAGGTGCCTGGGGAGGACATCTCCCAGTACCCAGATGCAACCTGCTTTGGGGTGGAACAGCAGCATGTAACACTACCTGGGGAGGGGTCTCCCACAAGCAAGATGCAGCCAGCTCTGCGGTGGAGCAGCCACATATAACACTGCCTGGGGAGGGGGGTCTCTCACTGCCCAGATGCAGCCTGCTCTGGGGTGGAACAGGGGCATGTAACACTTGTTAGGGCAGGGGTCTTGCATCACCAAGATGCAACCTGCTCTGGGGTGGAGCACCCACATACAACATTGCATGGAGGGGGGCGGGGGGTCACCCCGTGCCCAGATGCAGCCAGCTCTGGGGTGGAGAGGGATCGTCAGAACAGCTGCTTACAACACCCTAAAAGAGATGCAAAAAAGCCTGAGTTTGGTATGAACTTTACCAGAAATTTTAATGGTGAAATAAAAGACAGAAGAAAGGGTTTTCTTTCCCCAAAATGCTAATTTTTTAGCCATAACAGCAAACAAAAAAACCCCCAAAATGTGGTACTTGAGGAAAACTCCACTACAAACCCAGTTCTGGAAAAAATGATATTAGGAATTCCGAGGGAAGACACTAGCAATAACGGGAATAATTTGCCAAGAAAAGTTAAATTTCAGTAAAAACACCCCCAAAAAAGACAATTTAGGCAATTTCTAACCCTCCCATAAAAAACAATAATTATTCCAGAAAATGGATCTAACTTGATTATATCATTAATTTTAAGCATTAAAATATCTGGTATAATGTAGTTTTAATGGAAAACAAATGAAAAGGCATCTCTTTGCCAAAAATGCTAAATTCTAGATAGAACATTAAAAGAAATCATTGCAATTAAGGAAAAATCCAGCTGAAGAAACTAGTTCTGAAAAAAAATGATACCAGGAATTTTGAGGGGAAAAAACATTAGCAAATAAAGACTTGCCAAAAATGTTTAATTCTAGTCAAAACACCCCCCCGCCAATTTTGGCCATATAAAAGCCCTCAAAAGCCTAATTCTGAAGTATATAATATCAGAAATTTCAATGGAAAACCATGAAAAGGCATCTCTTTGCCAAAAGTGTTACATTTTATTAAAATAAACAATTATAATTAAGGAAAATCCAACTGAAAAACCCAGTTCTGGAAAATAACATACCAGGAATTTTGAGTGGAAAAACTAGCAAATAAAGGCTTGCCAGAAATGTTACATTCTAGTTAAAAAAAACAAAAACAAACACAGAAGAGACAATTTTGGACATTTAAAAAACCATAAAAGGCCTGATTTTGAAATATACAATATCAGAAATTTTAATAGAAAACCATTAAAAAGCATCACTTTGCCAAAAATGCTAAATTCTAGGTATAACTGGGTTTTTTTATTTATTTAACAAAAAGGTATAATTAAGTTAAAAAAAATATCCCAGCTAAGCCCCGGGGGGTGGGGGGTGGGG